TGTAGTTTATCATTCGATGACACTTGATTTGATTTATATGAAGAAAAGTAGGCCAATGCAATTACTTTTAATGCCAGTGACGAATTCATATTTAACTAGATGGCGTTAGCGCACGCCCCTTGTTTTGTACTTGATGGGGGGAAATAAAACGAGCGTTTCAAAAGAGGAGAGCTCATATTTCTATGGGAGCATGACAACTTTTGCACAATAAAATGTAATGGTTTTCAAGTAAATTGAATAATATAGGCTAATAAAATTGAACATAAATATTTTCTATGGGAACAAGATATACAAAACTGCTTGGTATAACATTTTTATTTCCTATTTTTAAAAGCAAAAAAAAAAACGATTATGCTGGAGTCTCAAAAAAACATTCGCACACACACACACACACACACACACAAACATACACACTATCTCTTTCTCTCTCTCCCTCTCTCTTTCTTTTCTATGATCTCGAAGTCCCTTTTTTACTTTGTTTTATAATTTTTTTAAATCCAATATTATTTTACCTTGAAATTAAAATTAAGACGTTAACAAAAACGGCATACCATAAGCGTCGTTTAAAAATCAACAACAACGCATTTACAATATGTATTCAAAGTAATTACAAATTGAAATGCATAGATGAACTATCTACATAATATCGAAAATAATATCGCTAGTGACATTTGTTTGTCTCGCAAGGTATGGTCACCAAGGGATCTACAAGATCACGACGTTTCGTGCGCCGCTGCTACACTCATCAGGTGATAAAATATATTGTAAGCAAGCGTGTTTTGAACTCTACGGGTGGACCAGGTGGCCCGGCAGTCAAATAATTAGAACCATAACGGACAAGGCCTATTGGTCGAAGCACACGGGTGCTCAACCAATCAATCAGTTCTAGGTTTGCTTGTTTAAATATTACAAGCAGAGGTTGAATTTTGGTATTGGATATGTGATACAGTATTATAAACATGAGTTAAGTTCAATCAGTGGCGTACGCAGGATTTTTTCAAAGGGGGGGGGGGGGGTTAACATTTTGAAATCGGGCCGAAAATTTCGCAACGACTCAGCCAGCCGCTGAATAAGCGGGGGGGGGGGGGCGGGGCGGGGCGGGGGGGGGGGTTAGAGGACACTACTTTTTTTTTTTTTTGTCTCGAAATTTGAAAAATTGACATTTTTCTTCGTTGGAGGGGGGGGGTAAGGTCACCTTTTTTAGGTCAGTCATGGGTATGATTTTTTTTTAAATAATAAAACAAAAAAAGGGGGGTTTAGGGGGGGTTGCCTACAAAATACACACATAAAAATACCAAGGGGGGGGGGGTTCAACCCCCAAACCCCAAAGGTGAATTTGATAAACTGGATTTGACATCTGGTGTGTTTTGGGTCGTAGTAACGATTCAATCTGTATAAAATAAATAACAAGACTACATAGCCTACAGAAATTTAGCACATGTAAATAAATACTTGTGTATTGCACTTAAATTATTTATGTGATCTATGCTCACTTAAATGCATAATATTACCACTGGATAATAACTTTAGTGCCTGCATGATGTGTCCTTTCACATGCTTATGTACCTGTCATAATAAATGACATATGAAATCAAACTCTTTAGCTACGTACTTTATCCTCGTAAAAATACTCTTTCGTATTAAACGAATAAGGATTCTAACCGGACTTAAATAACTGCTTTCTTTCCTTGGCATCAGTTAAACACACTTGTTTAATACTATGAAGGGACAAAACTAAGTCACTAGACCTAGCTAGTCTACAAGCGGGGTATGAAATTCACCTTTGCTTATTGTGAAGTTAAAGACCAAGTCCACTCCAAAAAATAACTTACTTTCAATAGAAGCAGGAAAATCAGACAAACCAATCAAAAAAAGTTTGAGCAAAATCGGATATCAAATAAGAAAGTTATGAATTTTTGCATTTATGGCTCGAGGCATGGGCACACAGAGGATTTTTTTTATGTTGGGAACCGGGGTAAAATGCAATAAATTATTGAAAATTTATTGCATTTTATTTTTTATTTTTTATTTATGGAAACTGCCCCCTACCCTAGCCCCCGCTGCGTACAGTCATGGTTCAGTGACAAAGGAATGGCCTCGTAACCGTGAGGCCCCAGGATCAAAACCGTGTCGATGTGCTATATTAGTGCCTTTTGTGGGGCATTAATCCTCATTACTGTCATTAAGGACTTAAGGGCATAGGTCCCCTAGTTGATAAGAATAGTAGCATACACATGCTTTAGCAGACACGCAAAACACACATTGTCAAAATTATTATTATTATTCAATAAAATCTGAGAATGTATACTATTATCTAGATCAATTATTTTTAAATTATTTTAAAAATAATTCCATAAATTGGGATAAAACAAAAATATTCCAACTATATGAGCGACAGTGTATAAGAATAGAAGCAATTCTCCGATGAAGGTTGTCGTATTATCAAGCAATCTGCTTACATTGACAGTCCTTCTTCCGCAAATAATTTTATAATATTTTATAATGTTTGAGGAAATTTAGTATTTATGACAGTTTAACATCTCGTTTGTGAAAATAACAATATATATATATATATATATATATATATATACGTATTTGCTTAGATATGATTAATTGTCAGAAAAATACTTGTACTTTGTATTATTATCGTTATCGAAAAACTGTGTACTTTAATACATGAATGCAGAAGAAAATCAAATCAAATCAAATCAAAGGTTGTGACGTTAGAGGGCGGTGGTCTTGATACCCCTCCTAATACGATGCGATTCGAAGATTAGCTCCACCACAGAACCCTTATCCGCCTCTTCTGAGTATCCTATGCAGGGGCGGCGATTTCATTTCATGACCGGGGGGGGGGGGCGAAATGCGAGGGAAATTCTGTACATTTTGACAGGATCGCCGCCTTATGCAACAGCCTTCTCAATCTCAGCAGCAACCAAGCACCCATGCCCCCCACCCGCAGGTGCATGGTTCAGGTAAAACGCATGTAGATGGCAGAAGAGATAGAGAAAGAGAGAGAGAGAGAGAGCGAGAGAAAGAGAGAGAGACCAAAGGGTGGCTGTGGGGGATAGATAGGGAGAGGGAAATACAACAATCTCAGAACTACACTCTGTGCATACAATGATCACCAAGGACAGGAATCGGTGATTATTGTGTGAAAATACACCCGTCGAAAAAAAAACAGAGTGAGAATGAAAGGCAAGGACTGTCTCCGGTTTAGCGTTGAGGGTGTAACATTTTTTCAGTTCTGTGAGCGCGAAACAGAAACACTTCAAGGAGTAGACTTATTAATCGTGTTTTTGCTTATAGCAAGAGCGTAGCCAGAATTTATTAAGGGGAGGTTTTTTTGCCCAATTCGGGCCCCTACAGCCTACAGCAATTACTACTTTTTTTTGCTCAATGGGGGGGGGGGGGGGGGGGGGGGGGGGTTGAACATGCCTGTTTTTTCCTCAAAATCCCCCCCCCCCCATTGAGCCCCCGTTTGAACACCTAAAACACCCCCTGTTTGCCAAGGGGTAGGGGATGTTTGAACACCCAAAACAACCCCTCCCCCTTCCACCTCCTCGCTGGGCCAATGGCGTATAGCGTAATTAAATGATCTATATTTCGGCCACCATTTATAAGATTTATTAACATGCACACAATAATTTCTTCAGCAAAATATATTACCCGGCAAGGAACTATGTCGTTACAGGAAAAGAATGAACGCGCAAGTGTGTTTCTCCTCAGTATTTCCTCTCATCTATTTTACCTATTCTCCCTTCTCTTCCAGCTAACTCTGTCCTGTCGTCAACCTATCACCCACTTGCTCTTTGATTCATATTCTCCCTCTCTCTCTCTCTCTCTCTCTGTCTCCCTCTCTCACTCACTCTCCATCTCTCCATCTCCCCCTCTCTCTCTCTATCTCTCTCTCTCTCTCACTCACTCTCCCTATCTCCATCTCCCTCCCTTCTCTTATACTCGCACAGTATAGTAAGAAGTGAACGCGTTTCTACATGTATACGTGATGTCTATGCACTCTTTGACCAACTACAATTCACAAGCATGCTAAAGGCCCTAGATGAAAGTCATCGAAAGCCAGTTGAACGAGCACCAATTAGGGGTGACTGCAAGTTGTATTATAGATTAGATAGAGAAAAAAGTATTCTTAGCAAATGAAATATTGTGTTCATAAAAGAAATGGCCAAAGAATAAACGCCTTTAGTGTTTGTTGACCAGCTCATGTAATACATATGTGACTTTATTGCAAAATCAGTGTTTCAAAGATTAATTGCCTTTTCTAAAGTATATACATACCTCCAAAGTCCTTCCACAGTTATGTTTAATTTTTCATGCCAGTTATAAAGACTGCTTGTCACGTGCTCTATTAGGAGTCAAACAATTTTATTTACAAATTCCTCAAAAACATAAATTGTCTTTGTTTAGTCGTGACGGAATGATGATAAATAAGAGGAATGAAATCTGTATTGCTTAAATAGCAAGAAGGGTCAAGGAAATACTAGATGAGGGAAAGAGAAAGAAAGAGAGAGAGCTAACAAGAGAGGGGAGAGAGAGAGAGATGAAGTCAAAGAGAGGGAGAGAGATAAGGAGAGGGAAGAGAGAGACGATGAAAAGGAGCGAGAGAGAAAGAGAGATAAGAAGAGAGAGAGAGAGAAAGAGAAAGATAAAGAGAGATATGAAGAGGTTAGAGAGAGAAAGAGAGAGACGGGGAGAAGGAGGGAGAGATAAAGAGAGATAGGGAGAGGGGAGAGAGAGAGAAAGAGAAAGAGTGAGAGATGTGGGGGAGGAGGGCAAAAGGGGGTACGGACATAAAGCGAGAAAGAAAGAGACCAGCAAGCCGAGAGACAGAAATAAACGTTATATATAAAGAAAAACCTTCTTTCCATCTCTATACAGGTATACATTATTTATTTTTGTCGATCACTTCTTAGGGCTTCTCCTTTTTTGCTGCTTCCCACTTTTGACAACATCAAGAAGAAATGATTAGGTAAAGACAAATGTGAGCTGACACGTATGACTCTGTACGTACATTATTTTAATATGACGTGACAGTCATCTTTATAAACAAGAGGGTTAAATGAAGTACTATGTATAGCAAAATATGCACATATTGAAATATTTCTTCCCCTAGTTTTACAACACGCTTATACATATTCCCTTTCAAAGCATTTTTTAAGAATGAGTTAAATTGAAATAAAGATTAATTACATTAAAACATTCTACTATAAGTACCATTGTATATAATTATAGTCCTTCAATATGGAATCATAGATATTATTTCTGGGTTTTACCCTAGACAGTTAACATTTTGATAATTGAACGTTTTACTGACATGCATATTCATTCAATAATTATGAGGACCGTATATAAATTATTTTTATAAAAAATATCAAGCAAATAAACATATAGAACTTAGGGTGCATCTTGCGGGTACTTATTTACCGTTCTCAGTGTCTACTCACTTTGTAGAATCTCTGAAAATGTCCACGTCTTCCTTGCATCAGCCAATATCATGTTTTTTGTATTGTGGTCCATATATTATGTTTTCCTTTTATTGTCTTCAAATAAAGTCTTTATTCAATTTTGTATTAAACAATAAACCAATACATGTATAAGCAAATGTAAACAAATGATGGATACAGACATTTGACAAATAAAGGAAAAATTACTTAAACGAAATGTTAGTATTTAGACTAAGTTGGACGTACCTCCATCTATCAAGAATTAAACCTATATTGTGCATAGATTGTTTGTTCAACTTCATAATGATGTTTAAATTTTGTTTTTAAACATGGAAATGATCATGATCCCTTCGAATATCTGGTTGAAAATATATAATATTTTGCATACAAAATAACGAAATTAAAAGAGGAGAAATTCCCACCTGGGATGCTGAAGATGAAGTCATTACATGTTTACTTGATTTTATTTATAAGGGTTTATTTTCCAAATTCTTCGAAGAATCGACGAGTTATTGGGCATTCCCAAATAAGTGTTTAATAGATTCCATCTATTCTGAACAAAACGTGCATAAATCAAAATGGGATATACCAATAGTCCTTAAATACTTATTGACACCAAGAATATGTAGTGAGTTATTTTCAACTTAAAATGCCTTAATCTTGTCGAAAAAAGCATTTTAAAGGAACTATGTAAATTTTGTTCAAATTAACAACTGATTTTGAAAGGAAAACTTCCCATTTCTTCTAGAAAATTGGAGCTTTAAAGAGTTTGTCAACACACAATTTATGAATTAGTTAACATACTTCAACTAAATTGTTCATGCTGCAAAAAAATTCTTATTGGTAATTAATATTTTGTTAGGTGGGTCTTCGCAAGTATGCTTCCATTGTAAAGATATAGCCGATATAATTGAATACAAATCTAGAAAATTACAATGTATAATGAATTTATTTACAAACTCAGAATAAGTGAGGAACTCATAATGATACCTGTTTATCCAATCTTTCTTAAAGAGTATAAAACCATTCACCATGATACATGAATTAGTATCCCATATAATTTAATTATGAATAAATTCCTCAGCGGGATTAACTAAAAAATATAATTCACTCCAAGGTAATAAGATTTCTTTTATAAAATCATTATTTTTTTGCAAAGATTTATCTTTTTTTGTAAGTTACAAGACCATTACAAGTCCGGGTATACTGATTAAGTTAAACCCGACCCACGTTTAACTAAAGGAAAATTAGATCTCATGTGATCTCATGTTTTATTCAGTATTCATTAAACACATACACTCTAATTGAGATAACTGAAAAGTAAATCCTTTGACCCGTTGACTACTAAATTAATTCATTGCCATGAGCTTTATACAGGGGCTACCCGGTTCGAGTACGCAATGGGTTAACGCAGTTAGTACTGCATACACAGGACTATTCAAGTAACAAGAATACAGTCATACGAGTATAAACAAAGACCTGTGTATCTGTAGTACTGTCATCTTAACTATATCAAAGTATTATTTTTTGATTGAAAAGTTATTAAATGTTAAGTATCGTATTGTAACACGAATCAATGAACATTTAAAGGGGATATTTTCTAATCCACCTTTCTCTTTCTATCTCTCCCTCCCCCTCTGTCTGTCGGTCTGTCTCTCTCTCTCCCTCCTCCTCTCTGTATGCCTCTCTCTGTCTCTCTCTCTCTCTCTCTCTCCCTTCCTCTCTCTCTCTCTCTCTCTCTAGCTATTTCTCCCGTTTGCAGTGGTCATATGGCGGAGTTTTGCGAAAATCTATATAATCGAGGATTGTGGTCATGAAATCAAACTAACTGAGATCAAACAATTGGGTTTTAAACTACGCAGCCCTTCTTTCTTTCTAATCATGGTCCCCTGTCCTCCTTCTTTCTCTTTATTTTTCTAATAATTATATTAATAGGATGCGCCTAATGCGCCTAATGTAACAGACATAATGCCACCAATTACACTAACACCGATTGAAATACTGCCAAGCAGCAACCCGATGCTGGACCAGCGTTTCGCCTCCAAAGATGCGATAGCGGCACCGTGGTAGTCCCCCTCTGCTGATCGGTTTCTCACCTTCAGATAAAGCAAGAAAATACAACACTCATGTTATGTCATGTATACGAACAATAGCAGAAGATTAGTGAAGATCAGTACCCATTATAACAAGGAGATTGAATGACTACCCCGAATTTGTTTATACTTTATTTTTAAACAACAACCCCAAAAGAAACCACCACCACACCAACACCAACACCAACAGCAGTAACAAACAGTTTGTATCAAATACTAAGTGTTCTATTTTTGTCAACGGTTTTATCGCAATGATATCCTTCCAATCATCTTCAGAAAGCTTTCCCGTAGGCAATTACAAACCAAAGGAATCATCTGAACATGCAATACATGTGTAGCGTTCCATACACCCATTTATTGTGGGGTCAGCAAACTTTTATATCGGCACTTCCTTTTTGTATAATGAATTACGTGCACCTGTGATATGACATTTGTGGTCTCCATGGTTTGTTTTTCTTTTAGCGCCAATCACGGCGTTCCATAGTCTTGTGTTTTTGGCTAAGCAGCGTGATTATCGCCACTCATCCCGTATGTACTCATCAGAGCTACACGTGTCTACGGTTTTAGTCATTTTCCTGACTTCATACATATCGCGTACGATTTTTGCGACGTTGTATTTTTCTCGGTCTATTTAATCGACTGCGGTAGTATTTCTTTTCTTCGCTGGATTAAATACGAGTCTTCATTTGTTAATTCGCCAAGTAGGCTATTCATTCTTTTTCTTCGGTTTACGCTTGGGCTAGCCAGAGGCAGCCATTTTGTTTCTGAGCACATTTATTGTATATATATTCCTGATAGTTTCGGTTCTCGTCGAAGCCCGCCCCCCCCCCCCCCCCCCCACTCAGTGTTATTTAGGGTACGCGTATGCTCGTACCCTTTTTTTGAAAGCACCCCCTATCTGAGGACTGCCAACATTTCCGAACCCCCCTTTCGCGGGCTTTTCGCGTGCTTTTCCTGCCTTGGAGACCCCCCTAAATCAGGAAAAATGCTCAATGTACCCCCCTAAATTCGGAATAATTTCTCAGGAGTCCAAAGAGATGAGAGAAAAAAAGAAAAACATCCCCTTTTTAAAGAAATCTCCGGGTGAAAAGTCAAATACACCCCTTTTTTTACAATTCTCGGGCCGGACTTTGTCGCACGAAAAGTACCCCTTTACCGGACATTTTGGCAACACGCATGCGGTCATTCCGACCTCTGAGTGGGGGGGGGGGGGGCCGGGCGTCGAAGCTTCAAATCACAATACCACTTTCTTTTCTCACGTCTATTTAATTTTAGTTGAACCTGTATTTTGGTTCTACACATGAATAATAATAATTAATTTGAGAATTGACCCATGCTTGGCTTTCTTTTCTTTTCTTTTCTTTTCTTTCCTGAAATGATAACTTGACTTTTTACCACCACGTGTGAGCTTGCTATTTTAGCAGGTTCTCGAAACACAAAAACAACAACATATAATTGGGACTTTCATGGATTTATCAAAAGCTTTTCATAAACTAAGTTATATGTTATCTAAAATGCTTCCAGTTTATGGAATTGAAGGAGTTGCTCTTTTATGGTTTAAAGAGTATTTATCATTCCGGCATCAATATGTGGTGCCTGGTTCATCGCAATAGCTTACAATTAAATATGGAGTCCCACAAGGATCAATATTAGGTCCCCTTTATTATAAATGATAGAACTAATGCATCATCCCTTTTATCGTTTATACTACATGTGTGTTTGCTGACGACATCAACATTTTTTCTCATCAGCATTTGAATGCCCCTTTTCATACTTAATATATATAGAATAATCAAAAGTAGCATACTGTTTTATCTCTTTATATTAATAAACAAGCTGCATACACTTTAAACATTCATATGCGCATGCCCCACATGTTATTGTATTGTTATTGATAATATACCATCGGCACGTTAGAGCTATTTAGATTGTTTAGGTACCCTTATTGATGAAAGTCTTGGCTTGAATAAACACATACGACAAATAATTCCATGCATTTGTAGGATTATTGGTGTTCTTAAAAAGACAAAATTTATCTTCCTAAAAAATAACCCCCGAACCCCCCCCCCCCCCCCCCCCGACCCCGACAACGAAAACCTTTAAGAAAATTAAATTTTCGTAGTTGTCAATGAACTACAAATGCAAACATGTTGTTTTCCGGGAGTAATGTCCGATAGGGAAATTGAACAAGATTTGTTTAGTCTGGTTAGATAGTCCATCATATATACCTGATTTGATTTGATGAGAGCTACAATCCCAAACGGCAAACAGCAGCAGAGTGTGACACAGAGAGCTAAGCCAAAGTAGTCATTAGGCGCTATTCCCGTGCTCACATGAACAATGTTCTGTTGGATCGGCGCCTGTTTGAATTCACAATCATAAGGTAAATCATTAGCCTAGGATTATAGTTCAATTACTTTCTTTGTTAACACTACAATACGGCTTAACTGAGCCTTGGGTTACTATACAGTGCGTCCCAGAAAAAGCGAAACCGAGAATTATCGATGTTTCATCATAACTTAATCGCAATTATAATTAATAAATGACACATATTTTTAAAGTTTAGATCCTCTTCGTTCATTTGATGCAACTCATATGATGCATATTTCACGCACAGAGGAAACCCACAAAAAAAAAAAATTGGCGGGCGGTATCTGAACTTCAAAGAGAAAATAATATTTCTTGAAAGTTTAATTTCAGCCCTTTCATATGACATCTCAATTAGAAACAATGAGCCAGGAGAAATAAAGTTCTGTTTGTTTACAGTAATGCCTGCATTTCCATAGTTTGATTAAACGAGTTCATTTTCACTGGCTGCCTTCCGTAGCAACAAACAGAGTTGACAAAAAACTTAAGTCCGTTTCGTTGACGATCAGGCATGCATCAAGTCTTTTGTCTCTCTTTTTTTCTCTCTTTCTCTCTCTCTCTCTCTCTCTCTCTTTCCTCCTCCCCCTTCTTCCTTTTGTGTCACTTGTCCTAGTCTCCATTTTGTCTATCTCTCCCCTCTCTCTGACTTTCCTTATTCCTCTCTTTTCCTTCTTGTCCTCTATCCTAGTCTCCCTTCTTTCCATCTCTCCTTATCTCTCTCTTTCATTCCTCTTCTATTCAGTATTCCTGTCTTCTGACCTAGTCTCCCTTCTTTCTATCTCTCCTTTTCCTCTCTTTCTTTCTTCCCCACTCTTTCCTGTCACCTGTCCTAGTCTCCCTTTTATCTATCTCTCCCCTCTCTCTGACTTTCCTTATCCCTCTCTTTTCCTTCTCTGTCCTCTATCCTAGTCTTCCTTCTTTCCATCTCTCCTCTCTCTCTCTCTCTCTCTCTCTCTCTCTCTTTCCTTCTCCCTCTCTGTCCAGTCATCTGTCCTAGTTTCCCTTCTTTCTATCTCTCCTATCTCTCTCTTTACTTCTCCCTCTCTTTCCTTCTCCTTCACTTTCCCTGTTTCTCTTATCTCGTCCAGCCTCTCCTCGGTATAAAATGTATCTCTCTCACTTTCTCTCTTCTACATGCGTTTTACCTGAAACTCCTGCGGCTGGGGGACATCGGTGCCTGGGTGCTGCTGAGGAGCATATGTGCCTGGTTGCGACTGGGGGACATCGGTGCCTGGGTGCTGCTGAGGGAATTGTGCAGCCTGCTGAGAGTGAGAAGGCTGTTGCATAGGATACTCAGAAGAGTTCGGAGGCGGGTAAGGGTTCTGAGGTGGAGCTGAGCTTGGAATCGCGTTACTCTCATCGTAACTAGGAAGGTTATCATAACCACCGCCCTCTACGTCACAATCTTCATTGGTGAATTGCTTGTATTCTGTAATGAATTATGATAAAGTGTTTTTTTTAAATGTTTAGAAATGACGTCAAATACAGCCTTACATAGAAGCAGTGTAAGGCAGATTGGCAGCACAGGGTTGATTTACATATTCTGTTTTACATGCAAAAACACGAACTGCTTTTTGAAGAGCTTTAAGTCTGTGGAACAATGAAAACACACTGTTGAAACACCAACCAAAAATCAGAGCCCCCAAATACAAGATACATATCCATATACATGTGAATACATCATCCTTATCACACAGTGTTAACACTGTGTAAAGCCACTACAGCCACAATGTCCATAATTGTAAAGGCTACCTACGGAGCGTGACCACAATAACAGATCATTTCTAGAGGTGTTTACAACGTCAATATACGCATAATAAATCATTCAATCTCTACTCCGATTCTGTCATGCTGTGTTCTTTATGGTATGAAATGCTTTACTCTTGAGACTGATTCCATCAATAGGACAGGCTTTATTTTCATTTATTTCCGGATAAAAAGAAATGTTTCTTGATATTACAATTCAATGATGGCAGTGAGAAAAATGACGTCACGTTTCAGTTAATGCACTTTGTAATGTATCCCCCCCCCCCTTTCCCTTCTCCTCCCCCTTTTGTATTGGTGTTTGGGTTTTCTCTGCTTTTCTTTTCTCAGTAAACAATACAGTGTATATTTTTAAGGGGTTGACACCCCGTTGACGTTCATGAAGCTACTTTTTTTTTTTTTTTCTTTCTGTTTTTATTGTTATTTTTGAAAAATTAACAGAGTAAAAGCAGCAATATAAAATATAATATCATCTTAAAACTACAAAACAGGCACGCACTCATGCACCCATAAACATACACACACACACACACACACACACACACTCACATACTTTCCCAGAGGGCAAGTTTACATTTCAAAAAGTCAATGAAGATGTTAATGACAACAGAGCTTTGCAAGACTACTCCTAAATTTCAGTTAAACTTGATAGACCATTTCTTAAAATGGACTTGTAACTTATTTTTCTTTTGGGCAATTTTATATTCTATTTTTTGTTTGAACTTTACCATTGAAACAAATGCTTCGAAAATAAGTTCTTTTCCCTGAAACCTACATGAGTAAATATAATATTTTAAACATAAACAGAGAAAATTTATACAAGAGGCGTATTTGTCCCTTGACTGTATCCCAAACAAAAAATTAAATTTTGACAAAGTCAGATTATAACTGTGATCAGTGCCAGTGTTAATCTTATCCACCAATTTTTCCCACAGTGGTACAACTCTCCTACAGTCACAAAACAAGTGATCTAAAGTTTCTGGAAAATCTGAACAAAAATAACAATTAGCAGACTCCTTTCTCCCAATCTTGAACAAAAATGCATTAAAACCAATAGCATTATGGAAAATTTTGAAATAAAAACTCCTTAACTGAGTCTCAATCGTGCAACAAAAGTTACTCGTATGAATAATCGACCAATCCTTCTCTTTGGTTGATGGCCAAATAGTTCCTCCCATTTACTCTCCCTTTTGGCATTAGTACAACTATATTTCTTCAGCAAAATATTATATGTATACTTAGACATTTTCTTTTGACTTAATAGATCTTTAAAAATTTGATTAAATATATTCTCATCCACATTAAGAGAATTATCAAACCACTCCAAAAATATGCCATTCATGAGGGAGTCATATTTTTTTTGGTCTCTAATAGGAATGTCAAACTCAATTACGAGGTCTTCAAATGTTTTGGGATTACCAAAACCATTATGTAATTGAAAAATGGAATGAATACCCCTTTCATACCAAACTGGATAGAAAAAATGTGTTCTATATTGCAATCTTACATTTCTATTCCACCAAATAAAATCTTGTAAATGAAACTGACATAAACCTAGTTCTCTTTTCATCTCTTGCCTATATAAATACCATGTCTTAATAGACGCTGTTAACTGGCAATTTTTAAGTTTTGCCAAAACCGAATCAGGGGCATCTGCCTTAAAAAGGGCAAGATGGTCATCACAAAAGGTAGAAAGAATATATATTTCTATTGTTTTCCAACAACTTTCATATTTATCGTCTAATAGTTTAGCCATCCACAAAACTTTCTGCGCTTGTGCAAAAACTAAAGGATTAATCATCCTTAGACCCCCTTCTTCATAATCATTGCATAATATATCTCTCTTAACTCTGTCATTGCCATTGCTCCAAATGAATTTAAAAAGCAAACCATTTAATCTTTTAAAGAAAGAGTTTGGCAGGTCAATACATAATACTGAAAACAAAAATAACATTTGGGGGAGTAAAAGCGACTTTACAACAGCAATTTTGCCCAACAAGGATAGGCTTCTATGCCGCCAACAATTTAAAATCTGTTCTATAATGACAAGTCTGGGAACAAAATTCAGTTCGTAAAGCATTTTTGTGTTCAATGAGAAAACCACTCCTAAAGCCTTAAACGTTTTTGATTTCCAATTCAACCCTAATGCATCTTGTGGAATAACTGTACTGCCTTTCAGCTTTCCTATATGAATTGCATCTGACTTACTTAAATTAATGCGACAACCTGAAAATTTTGCAAACTGAGTCAACGTTTCAAATAAATGTTTAAAGGAAACTGTTTCCCCATTCAAAAAACAAGTTGTGTCATCTGCAAAAAGACTTATCTTCTGTTCAAAGTTGCCAACTGAAATTCCCTTTATCCCCGGATTGTGTCGTACTGAAATAGCCAGAATTTCAATAGCTAGTATAAATAAAAGAGGGGATATTGGGCACCCCTGGAATATTCCTCTTTTAATTGCAACCGGATTGGACATAAAACCATTGTTTAACACACAACTAGTTCTATCATTGTAAAAAGTCCTTATCCATCTTATAAAATTGTCTCCAAAATTAAAATAGTCCAAGACTGAAAATAAATAATCATGTTCTATTCTATCAAACGCTTTCTCAAAATCTAACAAAATAATTGTAGCTGGCTCATTCATATAGTCTGTATATTCAATTAAATCAATTATAACCCGAATATTGGCCCCAATGTTGCGTCCCTTCATAAACCCTTGTTGATCTGTATGTATCAAAGAATTTATACAAGACTTCAAACGGGAGCTCATAACTTTGGCTAATAATTTATAGTCAACATTCAGTAGAGAGATAGGGCGATAATTCTTCACTAACAATGGATCCTTACCCTTTTTTGGAAGAAGCGTGATTATTCCACTTCTTTGAGATTGTGATAAAATTCCTTCTTGAAAGGAATAATTATAAGAGTGGAGTAATAAATCTATGATATCATTGAAAAAGGTTAAATAAAATTCACAAGGAAGGCCATCTAGTCCTGGACTCTTATTTGTTCCCATATTCTTTAAAGTAGTCCAAAGTTCATTTTTGGTTAAAGGTCTGTTTAGAGCAGAAATTGAATCATCTGATAAGGTAGGTATATTCAAAGGGGCGATAAAATCCTTGAAAGTGTCCCTATCCTCAAGAGATACCTCTGAAGAGTATAAAGCTTTATAAAACGAATGAATTTCCTGAAGTACTCTTTTAGGATCAGTGATGATTTGCTCATTGTTCGCCTTCAGTTGGCGTATAGTTTTTCTTTCATAGGACCGTTTTTCTAAATTGCAGAAGTATTTAGAGCTTTTTTCTCCGTGTTCCGCCCACTTTAATCTAGACCTTACTATAGAGCCAGCAGTTTCAGTATCCAGAAGTTCATTCAACTGTGCTTCTTCAACTTCTAATTTGCTATATAATTCTTGCAGTTCTCCATTTGAACTATTATCCTTTTTCAATGAACCAATTTTTTCTTTAAGTAAGGATATACTCTTTAGTAAATTATTCTTAGTCAAATTCTTTTCTTTTTTCTTTCTACTGCAATACTCCATACAATGACCAGCCATTGTGCATTTGAATGCATCCCAAATAATATGTGGATTTAGATCACATTCAGCATGAAATTCCTTAAATTCCTTAATTTTGTCTTTAATGAAATTGCAAAATTCTGAATGTTTCAAATGTGCAGTGTTCAGTTTCCAGTATCCCTTGCCCCGAGGTGAATCATTTAGTGACAGTGCTAGTGTTACCATACAATGATCAGAACAAATACCAGTCACAATTTTAGATTTCTTTACGCAATTCAACAAATCACTAGAAATAAAAATATAGTCTAACCTGGAGGAAACAAATGGAATTTTCTGATGGCGTGTAAAAATCTTATCATGAGTATGATCTCTTCTCCATACATCTACAAGACTTAGTTCTTCTACATACATATTAAAAGCAATTTTGGCACGAGCATTAGAGTGGGTTGCATTAGAACCCTCATAATCTAAAGGGCCTACCGCAATATTCAAATCTCCTGCTAAAATAACATGAGAGTTACCTATTTCATCTAACTTAGCAAAAACATTAACAAAAAAATCTGGTGAGTCTTTGTTAGGACCATATAAGTTGACAAGAATAAAGTGAACATCATTAACATTAACATGGAGGATAATATATCTTCCCTCAGGATCCAGGTGAAAAGATAAGACTGATATTTTCAAAGAAGCTTTAAACAAAATAGCCACACCTCGGCTATTGGAACAATAGCTGCCAAAAACTGCCTCCCCTCCCCACTGAGTACGCCACAGCTTCTCATCATCTATCCTAGAGTGGGTTTCCTGAAGAAAGATTATATCATACCCAAATTCTCTTAAAAAATTAAAAACTTTCTTTCTTTTAAAATTGTCATGCAGACCTCTGCAGTTAAAAGTATTAATCTGTAACATCATATAACAGTAAAAACCTAGAGTAGCAACAGTGAGTTGACAAAACAAGTAATATCCTAAAAATGTACACAATTTGATTCATGATAAAGGACCCCTGGGAAAAGGGCACACACCACACACTCAGTGAAAAAAGCATACGCACAAACACCCACCAAAAACAAAACAAACTGGAAAGGCAGCCAACGGTATGAGGCAAGAATGAGAAAACCTTAGAGCCTCATAATTAATCATAATGA